TTGTCATTCTTGGTAACTACATAATGATTTATCAGACAAGACGACAATGTGTCGCGCGCAAAAACAAGGATTCCAGCATAAATGTCAAGGTCACACTATTAAGTCCAAAATAAAATTATTTGTTTATAGAATCGCCTTGATGCTCATCTTTTGACAACAAATCTGTCATTCCTATATGTATTTTGAAATATTTTTACATAAATGTGATGGACATGATGACGCGTCGCACGCAATAATTAGGTCACACTTAAACGAGGGTTATTCCATATGTTATGTGTATTGTACCATAATATCTCAAAAGCATTCGACTAAAATTGTCAAATGAACTCACATCTCTTCAACTGAACTACTTTTACAAAAATGAATAGATTTAGCCTCTAGTCGTTTGAAGATAATATGCTTAGTAGGCAGACGTACCCTGTCAAAGACTGAAAAGACGTACCAGTTTATTATTTATATAATTTAAAACGGTGCCAGAAGCGTATCTAATTGCATTTACGAAACGTCTTTGTTAAAATGTTATACGACACCCTGTGACAGGTCGTCTGGTAATGTGCTCGTCTGCTGAATAACATCCGTAAATTCGTATCTTCTGCTTCAAGTGTATTGTCGTCTGCAAATTGTTAAAAGAATCGATATCATTTGCATGATCTTTTTTAGCAGACGACAAGATAATATACCATGATGAGCTTGTACAGTGGTTAGAATACTGATTTTAATACCTTAAAGCATGGTGTCTTGTTTAAAAGAAGAGATTATCATGTTAACATAAAAATAACCGAGTTATTAATGCCAGAGATAGACGATTGTTGAAAAGATATGGTCCTCTGTGACTAATTACCATAAATAAAGTTCCTTTATGTCTAGTTACAACCATAAGTTAGGTTGACCATAATTTACGCTGACATATATCTGAAAACCATATTTCACTTTCATTTATGTCCAATAATCATTTATGTCAAATAATTCTGAGTTACTTTCACTTGTATCTGGTACAACCATACGAAACGTCCATCCTTGTCAAATAAACGTAACGTTTTCTTATATCTGAAACCACACTTAACGCTAACTTAGTCTAATCACAATAATTGATGTTCACTTATGTCTAAAAGCTGTACATAGATGTGTATCTAATAACCATAAGTTATTTCCATTCACACAAATTGATTTCATTTAGTCTTGTTTGATTTGTATACAATATACAGAGGTGTATACCTTTTATGTAGTCGGTAGTCTAACTGTAATGCTTTCCCGCCAAAAAATCTAACATCGGCCAATATCGTAGCAAATCGGTTATTTCCGTACCATTTTTTTTTTCAAAATCGTGGGCATTTGATTATATTTATTACATGCTTTTCGGTGGTTTATAGAAATATATCAGTGATATAAAACTGGTAATTTCACTGTTTGAAACAGTGAAATTACCACTTTGATAATTTCACTGTTTTGAATTTAAGCCCCTTACGTTGTTTCAGTGAAATACCAGCGTACACAGTACTGGGTACCAACTTAATGACGTGACGTCGTAAATGACGTCACGTTGTATTATTATTTGGCGCGCTTTTCATTCAGTATTAGATTTAATGTCTTTTTAAAACGTTTATTTGCATATAATAAAAAGAAAATTTGTTTAGTTTAGCGTAAGATCGAAATATATTTCACCTTGTGAACACCAAAAGTTCATATTTCTCTCGTGGCTGCTCCACTCATGAAATATACCTTTTCGTGCTCACTCGGTGAAATATATTCCGATCTTACACTGAACTAAACAAATATCCTCTATATAATCATTCATCCTTTATCGATATGTACTAAATTCCAGTTTTAAACGGATAAAAATGATTAAATACCGAAGATTGTGAAAAATAACGTTCCGGAAATGATCGATTTATTACGATATTGGGCGATGTTAGATTTTTTTGGCGGGAAAGCATTGCAGTAAGACTACCTCAAATGATATAATAATTTGTCTTCGTGATAAAGCATACATATCCAGTATAGTTATCGTTGCATTGAAATTAGCGAAATAAACCTGACCAGTTGTTCTATTAACCAGGTTTACCACGACCGGGTATCTTTTTTAAAGAGACATCTTGTTTTCATTTGACAATGCGGTTTTGTAACGGGGAAATACATATCTCGTGCATTGATTGTAGATAACTTGATTATGATAACAGTCTCGACTACAGGACAATAATGGATGCTCTATTTAGATATGAACATTAACAGCTTGCAATAAAACCTGTCACAACATAATCTTTAGGATCGCCAATATTGTACATTATAGACAGGTAAATTGTGCAGTTTACGGTAGTGGCGTTTGCGGGTACAGATTTTAGCAAAGAGCACATTAGATAAATGAAATAATTGTGTGGTAGTGCCTCGTGGAGTGGCAACTCCATATGACTGAGAGATCCAAGTTTTAAAAAAAATAAGTAAAGAACAATGTTACAAGAGTTTATAAGGTTTATAAATATTCATATGATATTCAATGAAATATATGCAACTAAATGCTATACTTTATCGCCATCTATCTATATACCGTTACTAACGGTTAATGCTTTTAGGTTATTTTTGTGGATTATTAAATACATGTACTTATGTATAAACTTGGTTAGTTTGTACATAGACAATATTTTTTATTAACTGCTTAAAACACTTTCATAATTTTCATTTAAACAGTAGTTGTAGCGTGGATCTGGAGGCTTACTACTTTATTACAGAAGATATCTCGTAAATTAAATTTACTTTCAACATTGTTTACTTACGCTGTGCCTTTACTGTTACTTGTCAGTAAATATTACATAATATATATGTACATACTTAATATCCCCCAGGGCATTTAAAGGACAGAAAAAAAAACAAGTAAAAACAACAATATCGTAATGTGTCATTATTTCAAAATAAAAACAAATGTTTTACTTGACCGAACATCTAGATATAATAAAAACAAACATGAATGGGATATGAGATATGATCTAAATTATCATAGATAACTTTTCGATGACGAATAACACCAACAACGACGTCTTAACCCCCACACACAATTCTTTGTGCCCCCCCCCCCCCTAAAATAAGATAGATATATCAGCGTTTGATACGCATGAAAATAATGTTTTTAGTACATATATCAGCGTTTGAAACGGATGAAAATAATGTATTTTGTAGTATAAAATGTATAGAGAGCGCGACGGGGACATAGTTAGATTTCAGCTTCGGGGTAACACACATACTCGAGTTTCTTGGTTGTGTTGTAGATATCTACATGGCTAAGTAACCCCCCGACAACTCATCAATCTAACAATGTCATATTTCACTGATGATTAATTTCACACGTAACCATGCAAGTTAAGTATTTAAACACTTTGAAATTTTATTCAAGCGTACATTATTATACATTGATAATATAATGATGTCTATTTTGATATATACATTATTAATACTAAATTGTATAGTACATGTTAGGAAATGAAAGAGACTATGAGTGGGTACTAACATGCTAAAAGTTTCTTTAATAAGTTCAACATTAAACAATCACGTATTGAATGGCCTGTTGAATCAAAGAAAGAAAGAAAGAAAAAAAGAAAGAAAGAAAGAAAGAAAGAAAGAAAGAAAGAAAGAAAGAAAGAAAGAAAGAAAGAAAGAAAGCGGTCTTTTTAAACATTTAGTGAAGTGAGGCGAAAATTAAGAAAATCTTTGCTATTGATAGATAATATTAGTTCGTTTTGTTCAAGGAGAAATACGTAGACCGTGGGGTGATATTATGTGCGTTGACAAAATTCCACCTATTTAAATTAATGTACAGTAAAGATATCTAGCCACATTGACCGTTTAAGAAACTTATTAACATTTCTTGTGTCGGTGCTATATCAATTTAATAAAAAAAAAAACCTTACGTAATTCGGAATTCTTTTCGCATTTTTGTAAGGTCAACTATTTTCGTTAGGCTTTAAATATTTCGGGATTTAAGGAATTTCACATGTTATTAACAGATAATAAATATATCAACGACTATTGACAGGGATTAAGCCACTATAGAGCTATTGATATCTTTACGGTTACCTAATATTATTTCAACTACATTAAACCCTTTCATTCACATTTAATCTATACCATCAACATTCTCTGATTCATAAATGAAAGTTTAAATTGGTGTTTCTCACAAATTGCTATATTTACATTTCACATTCATATTGAAATTTAAAAGAAAAAAATGCTCTCGCTATACAAAATGACTTGTGTTTCGCACGAATGCATTCATTCACATTTCAAATAAAATTCTGTAGATGGTATACAGTTGCTATCAGTGTCATTTTGAAGTTTGTAGCATGTATTTTTAAACTCCGAACTCCTGTCATATACCTAAAATTATTGTTATCATCTCTACTTTATTATATCGATTCCTGCTACAGCAAAAACCATCAGAATTCTCTGTTAAAATCTGGAAAGTGAGTCATTACAGATATTACAAATGTAGATTGTTTAGGTTTTTTTTTTCGTTATGGAGATCAATAACATATTATAAGCACATCACAGCAATTCATGATGATTTTTCATGATGATAATGTTGTTGTTGTTGTTGATGATGATGATGATGATGATTATATTATGATGATGAGATGATAATGGTAATGATGATGATAATTTTGATAAAGTATAGTATCAATGCTATGTTGATGATATATGATACCATATTAGATTTCTTCTGGAAATGATGCAGATTTATTGTGTCAATTTCTTCACGATGATGAGGATGATGATGAAAGATGATGGTGACTTTGATGATGCATAATATCAATGCTATGTTGTTGATATGTGTTACGATATAAGATCTCCTTTGGTGGTGATGATAGTGATGATGATTTATTTTGTCAGTTTCTTCACGATCATGATGATGATGATGATGATTTGTGATGATTAGATCAAACAATGTTTCAATTTTTAAGAATCTAGATCTTAATTACTCTTTGATCAATACAATAATTTAAGTATTAATTAAATGTTTGGTAATTTATTATACAGTACTGATCGAATAGCTATTAATGAAGATGATGAATATTTACAATATACATATGTCAACTTAAAAATCAATGCAATGTATTCGATCACGTTTAATTATTAACCTATATGCTTATATTTCATTTTTTTTTTCCAATATTTATTTTTTTATGTATTGTAAACTTATATTTATTTATAAACGTTTCAGTTGCGAGAGTTCGAATCGTGCCGTGGTTTCATTTAATCTTTAAAGGGTCCATTTATTGTCGTAAACCTAGGATGTCGTAAATTAAAATGCGGTTTTAACTGACATTGACCTTAAAATCGATATCGCGTTTCGCCTTAATTACACGGCTAATCGCCGCATGTATGCGTTTTAACATGTTATTATTGAATTAAACAGTCATAACTCTTCTGCTCGATAGAAATAAACTGCTAAAATACAAATTGTCGCCTTTTGTAAGATGATAAAGAACACAAACATTATTATTGTGGCTTGATAACGATTTGTTTACCCTCCGGTGACAGTTTGCACTGCTATATTTAACTTCTAAAACACGTGACAAGATCGGTATTTCTTATTGGGTCAATGGATGGAGGCCATATTTGTTATACATGTCTACCATGACGTTTTACGGGAATTTCGTGTTTCGGTATATGGCAGGCTGGAGGCAGTTCAACTTTCTCTGAGGATAATGTAATATTCGTCAGGAAAATGGAGTATACTGGATTTAATAATACTTAGTAAAAGGATAAGTGAATTGATTGATAAGCTCTTGGGATCAGGTTAATAAGTAAAGTGATGTGAAATATGAAGATAAATTAAGTGTCAGGTGTTTTCTTGTTAATGTTGACATTACGCTGTGTTAAAGTTTAATGAAATAGATCAATTCATCATACATCGCCATGGATAGATTACCATCATCAGCCGGCGGTGCTCCGGACGGGGCATTTGAACGGTTCTTGACGGCAGCTATCGCCACTATAATCACCATAATGTTTTCATGGAGGCTTTTGGCTGAAGAGGAGGAGGCCTCAGGTGCAGCCGGGTTCGGTTCTAGTCCACACAAATCATTGCAATATTCTGTAGATAAAAAATCCACTTTTCATAATAAATCACCAGATAGGGCAAAATTGACCAAACCACGACTGGGAGAGTTACGAGGTATCGATCTGAGCATTGATGAAGGGAGTGTCTTAAATTCAAGGTTAGCAGACGATCAACAAGTTGTACTCGAGGACGTTGTATACGATCGCCATAACCCCGTGCAAGAACGCTTGCCTGAGGCTGTGCCAGTAGCAGACGACAGTTTGTCCTCCATTTCTAGTGCAGACGACAGTTTGACAGTCGACACACTGACCACATGGGACGAATATAAATGGGAGGAAGAAACTGGTGATGAAAATCCCTGTGTTATTAAAACTAGAAGGACTGTAAGAGACTTTGTTTCAAATCCTAATAGGGCATTAAATTTACAAGTAAACAATGATTCCCATGATACTAATTCTCTATCTTTTGGTTCCAGTCCGAGCAGTAATTCTTCATTAAGTCCGAATGTTCCATTTTCACAAAGGTTTGCAAACTTTGAATATAAAGATACGGGTGGGGATAGTGGCTATATAGACTTATATCCTGACGTTGAAAGTGACGATGATACAGATTCTAGCGATGACGAGCACGTGTATGAAATCCAAGTGTCCGATTCGGATTCGGATTCTGAAGAAAGAGGCGGGGCATTTTATGGGGTAACGTCGCTAGATACAATCATGGAGGAGTGCGAAAATGAAGCAAGTGACCGGGGGGAGGAGGGCCTTGACCCTTATGCACGTGGGGAGGGTGGTCTTTCAGTAGAGGGTGATAGTCAAACCTCTGCTGTAGGTAATGATAAAACATTGAAATCTTGTGATATATCAGAAATAAATCAACATTCGGAGTTTACCGGTAGCAATAATGCAAGCGTAAAAGATACAAACTTGATAACATCGGGATCTTCACAAAATGAAGTAAATAATGACCATAAAACTGATCAAATTACCGAGTCAGGAATGTTACTTAACAAAATTGAAATAAATGCAATGTGTCAGCCTCAACATAGTCAAACGCCACTGAAGCGAAATGAAGCAGACGATGTTAAAAGCAATTTTCCGCTTGATGATTCAAAAAGCAAGGATGCAAACTTAAATGAGCAGCATGTTCTTGAGTCGAAAGTAGCACCCTCTGATACGGTATGTGACTTGAATATTAATGAGGGGGCGGCTTTAAATAGCGGTAAGATCAACAGTAATGTCAACCTGGGGTCAAATGTGAAAAACACAAACGATGAATTATGTGAAGTAAATGATGAGATTTATAATGCTGAATTAAGTAGCCAGTTAAGTAAAACGCCAGAAACTATGAAAGAAAATCTTCATTTAAAATCGGCAGAGGATGATTATAAAATTTCTGAGATTTCAGACGACGATTTACCGCCGTCACCTATTCGTACATGCGCATTAGACAATTTAACAGAGGAACCATTCTCAGACACCGAGTCTTGCAGCAGTGAATCAGTCATAACGGTGTTAAGCGTAAAATCAAATGATAGTGATAGTTACATCGATCGAAATAATAACGCAAATAATTCCCTAAGTAACTTACCGGTCATTAACGTTGACAGGGCCTCGGGCGAATGTATGTCGTCTGATCTCAGTGGACAGACGACAGAGGGACTTGGAAAATACGAAAGTTACTCTCTCGTAAGTGGTTTTCTAAATGACAGTCTAAACAGTTTACTTAGTGCAAATACCGGAAGTAATGAAAATGAGAGTGATGCCGATAGCAGTTCTGGGAAAGAGATTCTAGAACAAGAAAGCGAGAATCAATCAGAAAATTTTAATATGAATGGTAAAGCTGCAAGTGATGACTCATGCATATCATCAGCTGAATCTTTGCCTGCGGTTGATGAAATGACCCAAATAAATGCACACATTTCAGAGAACGGCCATATTGACTCTACAGACTCCCTTAATGCACATAATGATGAAATCATACATGAACACCCCTCTGAACAAACCGTAAGTGATACTGACAGGCATTTTGATTCAGACAATTCATCAGATAGCTCCGACCCCCCGCTACGTGAATACGACCCTGACGACGATGATTTGGCAGCGTTTCAATTCAATCTTGACAGCGATGATGATTCCTTCTTTTTAGTAATTGCTGATGAGTCAAATGAAGATGACGATGAAGGTAAACTAAGGAACTTTGAAACATTCACGAACTTGAACTCTGTCGGATTATCTCCAGAATATGGCGATGCAGTAATCTCCCATACATTACCAGACGATGCCAGGGGATTTAAATTTTCACACACAGAAGATATAAGCACGCAATTTAAAAAACGATCATACGTCACAGATAGAAACAATTTGTCAGATTCGGATACTCGCAGTGACGGGCCTCTTTCTCCGATAACTTCTGAAGACGAAGAAAGTAAATCTGAAGAAAAAATAGAAAAACCAATATCTTTGTCAATCAATCAAGACCATTATTCTCCGCCATCAAAATTGCCAAATCTCTCTAGTTATGCTGACGCAGAAAAATCGATCGCAAAAACAGGCATTGAAAGTGAAAATGAAAGTAAACAGACAAACACTGTTGGTGAAATTGACTTTAAAAAGTATATTATTCAATCAGAACTAAGTCCGATATCTGAACATGTTCCGTTTCCTGAGCAAGATATATCATCTTTTAATAAAGATCCAAACGCGATCGATAAAGATTATTTGATACAAGATCTTGATCAGAAATTTGTAATCGATAGAGATGGTGATAAAACGGGTAGTTTAAGTGTGAAAGAAATGAATAATTTACAACATCCCGAAGGACTTGGTGAAACACTTAGCAGCTTGACAGAAAAAATTGAATACTTGACCAGAAAAAGTGCAGAAAAAGCCGCGGATTTAAGTGACGTAAATTCAGAAAATACTGACAATAACGACAGACTTGCAGATGATACTGGATTAAGTAAACATCATGGATTAGACAATAAAGGTCAACAAAATATTAAAAATAATGTTGATTCAGTAAATGAAAGTTTGAAAGAAAATCGACTGGAAACTTCTATAGATGACGAACTTGATGATGAAAGTTTATCAAAAACAAAACATCGCACAGATAATGATGCAAAGATAGGTAAACGAGTGAAAAAAGAGACTAATATTGATAATATATTTGAAAGTGAGTCTGTCAATGATTTAAAAACTAGGTCAAATTCAAGTATTGAGACAAATATTGATGATGTTTTAAGTGAAATTAATGAAGATAATAAAGACATTAGAAAACCAGCAAGAAAATCAAGTCGTAGGACAATAACACCATCTAAATCACACATAGAAACAAACATTGATGATATATTTGAGAAACAAGTAACAGTGACATCACATATTCCCGTTCATTCTACACCATTGAAAGAAGAGTGGACGTCAAGACGTGAAACTAATATTGATGATATTATTGACAGTGTAGGTGTAGATAGTCAAAAACAGAAAAGAGCAAAACAGAAATCGAACCTTGAAACGTCTGTTGATGACTTATTGAATGATTTAAATTCTGTTAATATAAATGAGACAGGGACTATTAATGATAATGACCAAAAAAACAGTTCATTAGAAAGTGATGACTTTAAGCAAAATAATAGCCTTTCTTATGAAACGTTTGTAGACAATTTATTTGAAAGCGATTTGCCTCGAAATTCTAGTCAAAGTAATACGCATGCGCGTCCAGTTGGGAGTGTTCTTACCTCAGAAAGTGCAATAAAAGTAGATAAGTCTAGAGACCTACAGTTGTCAGCTGACCACCCTGAAGGTGTTCAACCGGAAAATATTTCCGATCAATTTAAATCTGAAAAAGACAATAGTTTGACATTGAGCATAGGGGATAGAATTCATAAATCTAATGATCCGAGGCAAACGGACAATGTACATGATAGAGAGATTTTGAACAGCGATAACAATATAGATAATTGTTCAGATAAGATTTATAAAGATACAAAAGAATTTCAGGACAAAACAACACCGCCTCAGCATAAAATCGGACCCAATTATCGAAAAATCTATGAAGAACCTGAAAAATCCAATACTAACGATCAAAAATATAAAGATAAAGCAGATAAGAACGTTACTTATAATAAAAGTGTAGAAAATAATGATCAGCAAAATGTCGGATTTTGTAACAATGCTACTGAAAGTATAGAATCAATTTTGTCACCAAATAACATTGTAAAAGACAATAGTACACCATTACAAAACAATTTAAAAGCTAGTCAATTGGATTTTAAAGATCAGAATGTCAGTGATTCGTTGCCAAAATCAGAAAATTTAAATAATGTCAAACAAAATACGCAAGTTGGACATTCTCCAGGCATAGATGATAGATATAATTACAAACGCAGTGACATTTCTTCATTAGAAGAGCCGAGTAGCACAAGCTTGCCGAATAAAACTGAATATATTTCAAAACTTGGAATACAAATTGACGATAGCTTGTTAAAAAGTGAAGAGGAGTGTGACATAAATGACGTGGAATTGAAAATTATTGAACATACAGATAATGTGAAATTAGAGAATGATAATTATAAAGATGAGCAATTAGATTCTATTGGGTCTTGTTCCCTAGTTTCGGATGATGACTCTTTAAACAGTTTAGAAGAAAGTTTTCACAGTCTACAAGATACATACAATGCTGCCCGAATAAGAGGATTGAGTGACTCGGAAGTGACGTCACGTGTCGTCCGGTCACCGGCGACTAAACCTTCCGATCTTCTATCTAGATCAAAGGAATTGAAAGGAGTGAAACGGAAAGTTTTTAAGCATAATTTAAAGAAATACACATCTATCCTGCAACAACCGGTTACAAATGAACGAGTGAATATCACGTTTGAATCTCAACACAAGAAACCGTCTATTTCAAGATTGAAAGTATTGAAATCGCGGGAAAGGTTTCTAAGTGCTGAAAATCTATCAAACGGAAGTTTTGAAGATAAGTTCTTACAGCATAGAACATCTTTAGCCTCTACTCCAAGGAAATACTTGAAACGTCACGAAATTCATCAGCAATCTACAGAAAGTTTGCCATCAGACATGGCGTCTTGGAATATGACCTACGGAAGTAATACAAGCATGGATAATTACCATTCCCTCCCGTCACCCCGTCATATTGAAGAGCTTTACGGTTCGCGATATAGCAGTGCAAACTCATCTTACGAAAAAGCCGATTACGATAAATTGCATGCAAATTGTATGTTTTCCCATCATAAACGCGAAGAAATCCGTCATACGAAAGAATCTCTCGAAAATATGTTTGAGCAGCTTTTACGGTACGGATCGATATCGTCTCTCGCAACTGAAACGGATATTGACGCCGACGTCACTGATGACGTCAACGCACATGGACAGTCCTTACAAGATCCTTATTATCTTTCGTTTCAGTATCCTCTGGAAAGGGCTGCAAGCATGAGTGCGATTACAGGACCAAGTGAGAGTCACCGGTTGCCTAGGAAACCTGGTAAAGGACGGTTTGCAAATAGAAAGGTTCCAAAGTCTAAAAGTTTACAAACTTTAGAAACTAATTTAGATGACGTGTTTGACGATACAGCACAGCCTGGGCAACTGTCTAGAACCCCGTCAGAACACGAACTTCGAGTTTCTAAATCACTTTCGAAATTAAATGTCCCAGACTGGTTTAGAAAGTCGTCATTTTCGCGAAGTGGCAGTACTCAAAGTTTGTTTACATATGCCAGGACTGGTTCGACTTCCACTGTAGGGTCGACTGCCTATCCTCCCTCTTTGACCACCTCCCCTTCGCCGTCCGTAACCCCCCAGTCTAATACAGTTATCATCCAAAAGCGCGTTACCCCAACTAGTTCTATCTCCCCAGCAGCACGGCTTCTCCGTGCCCCGTTGTTGCCGACTACGCCGGAGAAAGCGCCTATTCATAACACTCCTCAGTTACCTAGCGATATATTTAGGAAAAAAGAAAAGAAAGACAATCTTAAGCCTATAGCAATTGTACCGTTCGCAAAACTTCGCGAAATGTTTGAAAAGAAAGCGCAAAATGACGCCAAAAGTAAGGCATCTAGTCCATCGGACGGTAAATCTCCTGTCACAAGTCCCACAAAGGAGAAACCTTCATCCAACGTAAGATTTGACCCCCCTACGCCTACAAAAGAAACTGTTACAGACAGATTTAGTGATGACAAACCTGTTCAGAATAATAGGACTATATCCCCACCCCCACCTGTTCCAGAACGCAAACCTATATTAACCGATCATAGTGTGAAACATAGTGAAACTAGTGCGCATGCGCCAAGACGGACACAAGTTCATTTCTCGGATGAAAATCATGTGAGTAGATCCCAAGAGCAAAATACAAACACTTTACGCCAAAATGGCAGTGCTTCGAACACAAGTTCGAGCACCAGTTCTCGTACCGTTAAAAAGCCTCAGAGCCTAAGAGCCTCCCTGCCTCAGTTTAGATTTAGGAGACCTGGCCGTTTTGCTTCTCCGGCAGCGGCCTCAAGTGACACGAGTTCTCAGAATAAAAAAGGTAAGAATATCGCTAGAAATGCTGACATTGAGGTAAATAGTGAACTTCCAGTTAAATTTCCACCATGGTTGCATGCTCTTGAACTTAAAACAAAAACTGATGGTGAAACTTTGTTTGAATTTTTACAGAAACGACGGTATAGCAGCATTTTGGAGAATGGTTTTGCTGAACAGCTTAACGAGTTGCAAGATAGAACCTTCAGCTTTCCCGTAATGGCCTTGGGCAGACATTCCAACCAAAATGGCGACCTGGCGATGGACGGGTCTCCGGATCTTCATGTGATTCTCACAAACGCTCATGCTGACAATGTATCGAATGGTTATCTCGAAAACAAGCTTCGCGGTGACGCATCAGTTGATGAAATATTAGACGGGTTGCTTCTTTTGGATGGTCATCGAACTGGCAGAATGAGAATTGACGAAAATGGGCGAATAGTTCCGAGAACACCCGATGATTTTGTCTTTTCCCCAGATACCCCTCCTGGACTGTCTCTTAATCTTAGTGCGCGTGAGTATAATTCTAGTGTTTGTGAAAATGGAAACGAAGTTAGTGATGAAAATGCGGAATATAATCTAGTAAAATGTGAATACACGTCGTGTAAACGCGAAACGAATCTTAAAGAAGCCAAACAATTCTTTAAGACATGCCACAGTTGTTTCTCGTATTACTGTAGTCGGAATTGTAGAAAACTTCATTGGGAGTCGCACAAACGCGTGTGTATTTATAGTCGAATTAATAGTGCGTGTAAACATGTGATTAAATACATTAACAAACAACCTCATCTTCAGTATCAATGCTCTAGGATAGCTCGTCGTGGCTACTTATCACAAGGTCGTGGTTGTGTTGTGTTCGCATTTCCGGACATCAGTTCTTCGGAAGATTTCTTGATTTACGGTATTGAGAGTTTATGGGTACCTCCTGTGTACATATGCTTGAAAGAGCTACCGCACGCGAAAATGTTAGGTTCAAAGCTTGGAATACTTACTGAAACGTGCAAACAATACAATCCGGAACTTAAATATGTGATACATGTGGCAATTGTGATACCGCCAAAGCTTCCCGTGAAGCCCATGCCGCGTAGAATGGAGTCTATTATTCAGAAATGTGCCAAACTGAGATTGAGCCCGGCTCACATGCATCCAAAACAGGAGGATACTGACAGTCCGTCCACATTGATTTTAACTGCTGTTCCCGGGAATCAGCACGCGAATGAATCAGACGACAGAAAAACGCGGGAACTGTGCTTTGTGAACATTCAGCGTAAATTAAGAAATCGTGGTGTGAGCTTGAGGCATCAGTTTCCGGATATATACAACAAACTCATTGATTTTGTGTCTGATGCAAAGCATTTCAGTCCTTTGATAATTTATCCAACGGACAATCGAACCGGAAGAAGATTTATGTGCGTGATCATGCCAGAAGCGGAACCGGAAATAGAATGGATCAGAGACCCGGATTTGTTTCACGAACTAGATGTCTTCGATGACGAAGGCCCGGACATGAGTACACCAAACACGTCCATACTCCATCAACCGGAAATAATGTTATAGAATCGTCGTAATTCGATATGTAATTTTTTGCGACTTTGTATTTTTAGAACTACAGTAGAAATCTTTTTACAAGAGTATTAATGATATTTAAATTATTCAGATCGTGTGTTTGTAAATCATTTATATACAATGTATTAGAATAAGCAGGATTTGTTACCAGGAGATTGGACACACTGTTTTGTTGTTGTTTTTGTAATATGCAAATAATGCAAGTAAATTGTTCAAACAGGAAATTACGTCAAAACTTAAGTAATGAAGCCGATGGTACCGGTGCTTGCAAAAATTGTTAATTTTTAAGCAATGATTTTTAAATTTCTTACCTATTCTACTTGAACTCAATTCGTTATATTAACATAACGCTACTTAAAATTAATGATCTTGAGACCGGATATTTTAACGCGACTGTTAAAGATATTAGTTTTAAAGGAAATGAATTTCACTATTTAATATGTAATTGGTAAATATATATTTTGCATCGTTATTCATGTATTTGTGATTGTGTGACTTTTTTCACTTTTAATTTTCTTAGTTGAATTTAATTTGAAAAAATTTCAGCTGCTTTGAAAAAAAATAATCAAAAAGTTACATTTTTTAGGGTGTCCATCTCAAGCCGTAGTAACTTTTCATCTTCCATCCTGTATGTACCTTTTTTTAAAATGCATGTCAGATTTTCACATACATTTATAACAAAAAAAACACCCATTTTATATTTTCGTTTTAAGAATTTCCATTGTTTTGTAGCAAGAATTGCCAGCTTATTTGAAAACTAAGCCTAATTTTTGTTCTTGAAAAACTATAAAACACGTATATATGGGTTATTTGATCACGGTAGGTAAACGTTTGTATCAGATAAACGCAAGGGATATTTAAGGTCTTAGCCCTATAATGGTCAATATTGCAATTTTGTAAAATTACATGACACAACGGGAACCAGGGCATTCTACGTTATCGCGAAAGTGGTTACGGAATAACCCGGAAACTGACGTTTTTACACGAAGTGTCTTGTGTAGCTCAGACGTTAATGATTAACGCAACGTGGTATTGATATCCGGTTAATAAACATACATGACGTGCTTGTCAAATGAACGTTAATACGTTTAGCAATCAGCTTTGTAATGCAAACGTTGACGTGTAACGTGTCATTTACGCTTTGTTCTCTAGAAAAAAATATATATCTAATCTATGTATTTTGTCGGGAAACAACTATCTGACGGAAAGACTAACCGTTTTTGCATATTACCTTATTATTCGCCGTGACGTTGCTGGCGCTATGTTCTAACTAAGTACACTAAGTGACGCTTTATTAAAATGTTAAAGAACGATATGGTATCAAAAACCGATTATTAAATGAAACAGCTATTCACTGGACCTTTTTACGCTTGGTGCTTCTGCACTTCGCGCGATCCTGGTTCCGCTTTCACTAAAAAAATTAGGTCGATCCAATAAGAAAAAACGCCCCAAGGTTACGTTATCCCTATGAAATGGTCGCGAAATAGCGTAGAATTCTTTTCATAAATAGCGTTCTGTATTAATGCGAGATAATTTTGTTACGAACGGGCGTCAGACACACATTTTTCCGTGCAGGTTGGCTATTATTCGAGTTATAAGAAAGTTCGAGTTATCCGAATTAAATTAAATATATACCGTGCAACTTTTGATGTTTTTCAAGCAAGACTTCCACGTTTTGATATGTTTATGACGTCATACCGTTTTAGTCGTTTCCAAAGCTGACGGGAGACAAATGCTACGGATGAAATTATATATAATGTAAAAGAAAAATTAAAAAAAATGCAAACATTTTATCTGAAATTGTTACGACTCTCAATAACGCTCTAACTTTTGTATTTCAATACAACTACATAGCTATCCTTTGTCAACAATGTTGTGATAGTTTTTCTATCGCGTACAAAATATTTTTGTTTTGACATTTTACAAAAGTTGTGAACTTAATATTTATCAAAACAGGTTGTTACTATTTATGAATAAGTGATCAGGAATTCACTTAAATATAAGCTTTTTTCTACATGTTATGCTTTTTTATGCTTTGTATTTATTTTTATACACATTAAGGAAAAAAATGTTGTGAATGAACAAAAGGTTTTATTGTCACTATAAAAGAGCCACTTACTTTAATGTGCAAATATAATTATCCCCAGCTTATATCATTTTGAATATGTTACAGTTGTGTTTTGTGGGGAGGGGGAGTTTTTTTTTCAGCATACCAAATTCAAATACCTATTTGTAATATATACCTGTACTTTTGTATTTAGCTTCGACACTATATAATTTTTCTAGGTCCGTTATTAATGCTAAACTCTGATTAATAAACCATAAGCTTTAATGGATAATAACTGTTTTACATTACACTTAACTGACTAGAATATTAAAGATGTCTTATATAAGCAAGGTCCAGTTTTGTGTTGTACTGCCTCAGTTATTTAATTTTTATTTATTTATAGATATGATTACATTTTGTTCGACATTCATATAAATTTTCATTTTTTTTAATTTTTCAGTAATAATGCAGTAATGTAAGGACTTTTTTTCAGTAATGTTTTCAGTAATTTCTCTGCAAGTCTGCTTTAATTTTCTGTGTGCACGAAATCATTTGTTAAATGTTGCAAAGTTTAGCTAAACGATTCTTCTTTGCAAGATAAAGTTTAAGTTAATTGATTGATTGAAACTCATTATTAGGTAAGTTTTTATGTAAGACTTGAAGATAAGGTTAACAAAAGGGAAGACTATGTTTTGTTGATGATGTTCAATTATTTAAATGAGATATTTTTATAGGAAGGGGGAGCGGGGGAAAAAGAGGGGGACAGTAACAAAATGAAGAAGGTTGTTATGTTAAAACATTCATATCTTTATACATTATACATATACTCCTGGTTGTTTTTTGTTTTGATTTGTTTTATTATGTAATATTTATTTCATGTTGAACTAATCGTAAAAAAAAAAACTTATGAATATACTAGACTTTACTATTACCAGACATTGTTATTTGTACATGTATATCTATGGTTGATATGGCTAGAGTTGTTATATTTATTTTGTTTTTGTTGTTTTTCACCTTTTTTTGAAAACCATATCTTTTTTATCAAGTTAATTATCATTTTAATTTACGAAAAAAACTTCAAAACCTTTACATGTTGTTAGTCCAGTGAATATTTAAACTATTACTATATATCTCTAGAGTTGTGTGCATGTTTACATTGTGTAATATGTCTCATACCAGGTTTACTAAAGATGTTTATTTGCTTGCATTTATCTACCCAGGAAAGAATCTTATAACAGGCTTGGCTTGAACATTTTCAGCATTTTTCTACTCCTACATTTTTAAAGGGTACGCATACCAGTCTCAACTGTTCGCATAATACTACATTAGTACCGTCGTGTGATAAACTAATTCAAAACGAGGCTTTTCTTAAAAGTTCAAAACGTCCCTGTCAAAGTTATAGTAAGATGTTTATCTTCAATTAAGACCCATGGTCTCAAGGCAATTATCTACAGTATAAGGATTTGGCAACTTTTACACTAAATTCCGATCCTTTAGCCAACAATATGACATAAATAACAACTGATTTTAAAGATAACAATATGTTTATTTTTGTTACATTACGTACCGTTCATATTCTATTGCAGCGAGAGAAAAAAAAGTCACTTAACGAGACAAAAATATGGAATGTAGAGCTTTTTTGTTTTTGTTTTAATCATTTGACGTTGAATTGTAGTATTTTATTTATAAAAAAAATATAGTTGGCATTTTGTAAACCTACAATTAACATTAGGCATGTCATATTTTTGAACATGATTGATAACGCAGAGTAAAATTGCGGTTTGTGATTAGGAATTTTGATCATATTTCATGAAATAATATTGTTTGTGAAAAAAAAACCGGAAGCAAAATTCTATGTCTATAACAAAACGTTCTGTGTCGCAAATTTGGTGTCCAGTTCTCTCCACTGTAAGTTTGTCGGCTGCATTTTTCATTTGCCTTGTTTCCGGCCGTATCGCGGTAAACTATGGATTGAAACAGCGACCGATTAAAATAATTTAAATAAGGAAATTCAGTTTAAATTCATTATTGCATCTACTACAAACAATCGTCTAATTGTTATTGTTTTATTATAGGATTTTTTTCTGGTGTAGGTTTTATTTTGAAATCCGAATACCTATACGCGGTCAGATTATTTTAATTACCCGAAACGCGTCATTTATACGGAAATAATGACGGTGCATTTTCTTAGATTTTTTTTGTAACAGGTATTTCGTAATTATGCAACAGTATGTGCTCGAAAATAACTAAATGTTAATAAATTTAGAACCAGTTTTGGCTTACTGACAACAAATGAAGTTTATGATGTGTAGTACATATCAAGCATGTTATTTTTTTTTGCAAAAATAAATGCGTGAACGTTGCTTTAAATCTAGGTTTACAGGGATAAATTATATGGTAGATTACGCTGGTGTGAATTACAAAGGTGTCCTAGTTTGTTCAAATTTTTTTTTTGTAATTGAACATGTGTACATGTTGTATAGATAAATTAAAACATCGGTTGATAAAATGAGTCAGGTTAAACATGTCATGTTTAATTTGGGATATTACGTTTTGAGTTTATTGTTTTTTGTATTGTTGAAAGCTTGTCATAAAATGAGATACAAAATGTGAAACGTCACGGTAAAATGAGCCCTTTGGTCGTTATTTTAGAGGATATACTGGTCTTGTTTTGAATGCAGTAGCAGTATCTTATCTGATGTTAACAAATTTTGTCCTTTATTTCTCATTTATTTGAATTATATCAATTGACTAAATGATTTATCTATTTTGTTTAGTTTTTGTTTATATTTATAATTTTGTTTATAAATGACGTCATTTCAAGATGTAGAAACTAAGCAAGCCTTTTTTAGCCTTGCACATACAAAAAATGTTCAAGTTTTATTATGCACTGACTGTCTTTTTATATTTGTACAAACCTAGTTTTCAACATGATATGACTATTGTCGTTATTTGGTGAATTTGGAGAAAGTGTAAGTTTTGTGATGAATTATTGAAATTAATTTTAGCTACCTGTTTTTTGTTTCATTTGAATATACATTTTGTATAATAGCTGTACATACATTTTAAACCCTTAATATTATTTACATATATTTGATTATACTGGTTTTATATGTTTGTGTTAACCTATATTTGACAGTTGTATGAACAAATATATATAGAAAGAATGTCAGTAAAAAAGTAATGCATTTAGAATATCATTTAATTAACATTTAAAGAATTGAAGAAAAAATACAATTTTTAACAAACAGTTTTTCTATTTTATGCATGGGTTGTACCACCATCTGTCTATGTTCATTTATAGTGTTGTTGCCCGATAACAGAGTTTATTTTATACATCATGAAATTGGTGTTACCTAGCTTACAATCGGGATTCGAATCTGCAACGGACCTGCTATCTGGCATATAATTCATTCCTCATAACACTGAGCCAAGTGATCTATTTATATAACGGATTGAAATTAACAAATCTAAAGTAATTGATTGAACAAATCAAGAGTGAATGATGTTTTTTCTCTGGAAGTACAGAAAAATCAACACAACAAAATGATCAAATTGAATGTTCATTGAGGTACATTATGGGACTGACGGACTAACCTACCGGCTACCACTACTGAGCCCCGGTATATGTCTGTCCATATTTCCGGTAGATGTTTGCCCCATGACTGAAATTGTTCTATGCGCGCGCATAAACAAATCGTCTACTGCCAAAGCATTGTGCTCTGAAAAGTTATAACCGTATACAACAGTATCAGCTCAAACTTTACTTCCAGGCAGCCAGCCATCTGTTATGTTTGTACACGTCAACTGGTAGGCATTCGATCCGTGAGACATACACGTGGTAATTATAAAACGTACACCAAACCTGTTATAATTACTATTATTATTGTGCAATTATTATAAATAGAGCAATTATAGCATACGACTACACTGTATGCTTTCCTAAGTGGTACAACAGCGAGATTAAGTAAACTTGGAAGAGTTGTCCCTCTTGGTAAAACGGGTGATACAATTACAACGTCAAAATAGAGTGACATTAGATAAGCTTGGAAGAATTGTCTCCCTTGGTAAAAGGGGTGATATAAATTGAGTAAGCTTGGAAGAGTTGTCTCTCTTGATATAACATTATCCGCGAGACTATCACTACATCATTGACTAAAGGCATTTTAATTTTCAATAGCTAAATGATTTATGTTGCCAAAAATGTTGCAGTTAAGAGAGTGTATAGGTGCGTTTTGATGAAAGAAATAAATATCCTGAAAATCTGTTTTCATCTGATAGCTGATTGGCCTGTCTGGAACAGTATGTCAAGATCTTTCTTGTTCAAAATTTTACAAATTTCTTGGCATGAATTGAGATATTCGGTCTTGCCAAATTATAAATGTACCATTAAATGGTTAAATGAATGAGTAGGTATATGCGAGTATCCGTCTGTCTTTTCTCAGGGGAATTTGTCGAGCTATCTCTTAAAAGGGCTTTGTCCATGTGCGGCGTCATGACGATAAAGACTATGTTACGTAGCTTTCACGGTGCTATATTGCGTTCTGTCAGCGTGCGCTAGACACGTGTTCTACTCACCTTGAAACTAAATGTCTATAGAGATCTTCACAGCAATACCATGCCCGGCCATCCACGCTCGAACCTAAGATCGACACCGTTTTGCCATTCTCAGTCTTCGTCAGACAATGATAGGCAGTCGTGTACCTGCTACACCATCATGTAGGCAGATAGTAGACCGGGGATTTTAAGGTATGAACAGGAGGATGTCGGGCTGAATTGAACACTGATTAGGCTCTCCAGTTCTAACATTAAAATGTAACAATTTTTTTCTTTCCTTTATAAAGAACACTTCCGTGACAGAAGGCATTCCTAATGTACCAAGAAGTAGGTTTTCCACTTATGAAGTCGTGTTTAAATACATTTTGCCATCCATGTTGGACAATTTTTCGACATCCCGTCATTCCAACCGGTATTTGTGGTTATCTCAAAAAGCTGACAATGAAGCATGTACTGGATTTGATCAAAACTTGCGTTGACTCATTTTAATTTTAAAGATTATGAAAATATTTGAACTCAAATTGTATTTGTATATTATCATAACACGTACATTCTTCGCTATTAAGCTTGTACAATATTTTGTCTGTGAAACAAACTAAGATCAAATATCTATACTACAGAGATGCACATAAATCCGCTATCAATCCGAATCATAGACTCGGTCTTGAACATTGCCCTGCTAGAGTAAAATGAATAAATATTTCAGTTGGTAACTATGATAACATAATACTATGACTTGGTCAAACTTAAGATAATAATTATGAAGTCGACATATCATACTTTATCAATGTAGTAAGCAAATAATCTAGAAATTGGAACGTTGCTATTTACGTTTGACCCTCTGATAGGTCATATATAAACTGACCACAATTTTACGTCCATTTTCATTTGAATTTCACATCTGAAGTAAAAATGGCAGAACAAAAAAGTTTACCGACTGCCAGCGAAGGTGACACAACTTTCAATTTTAATGGCGTTTTTCGTGATGTGCATTCGAAAATATCGCGGGAAAAACTTTATGAGTCGCAGAAACTTATCTCTGAGAATAAGTGGGATGATGCAAAGAATTTACTTACAAGTGCTTTCGATCATTCAAATGACGACCATGACGTAAGAAATCTTAAGCTCATTCTAGCGGAAGTAGAAATGTATCAAGCGCGTGCAATACCGGAAGGAACAAAAGCAGACGGTGGTATTGATTGGAATAAAGTTGCCGGAAGAAAAATTCAGAAGTACTTTGAAAATCGCGATGACTTGCCTCAAAGTGTGTTCCTATTAAGATCAAATAATTGCGACAGAGTTATTGTAGGGCGAAGGATCTTGTCGCATCAGTATGTTCGCAATAAAA